ACACTCACTCTCACACACACTCACACACACACTCACACACACACACTCACTCTCACACACACTCACACACACACTCACACACACACACTCACTCTCACACACACTCACACTCTCACACACACACTCACTCACACTCACACTCTCACACACACACACACACTCTCACACACACACACACTCACTCACTCACACACCTGCAGGATGAGCAGCATCTGAATGATGGAGGGCGGCACACAGGCCCACGGTCGAGTCAGAGCTTCGTCCAGCTTTATGTTGAGAGTGATGATGTTCCTGAAGTGCAGCAGAGTCAGCTGACGGACAGACGGCTCCTTCCCCTGAACACACACACAGAGTCTCAAATACACCACCAGTTCATCCTTTACACACTCTCGCTAGTTCAGAGCAAATAAATCTGCTCTATCAGCAAAATAAGAGTATTAGAGTGTTTGGTGAAGTACCTGGACGGGGTAGAAGATGGCCTGCAGCATAGACAGAACATCACAGAAGAAGAAGTCCCACGTTTCCGCCAGAGAATCCAGCAGCTTCTGACCTGCACACACACACACACACACACAGACACAGACACAGACAGACAGACAGACACACACAGACACAGACAGACAGACAGACACACACAGACACAGACACACAGACAGACAGACACACTCACACAGACACACACACACACTCACACACACGCAGATACATACAAACATACACTCAGAACCAAAAAAGCACAATACACCCAAAAACAACTGACAATAATTGAGAAGTCAGTGAACACAAACCAATTTTGGGAAAATTGGAACAATCTGAAAAAAACTGATCATGAAGAATTGGCAATACAAAATGGAGAAATATGGGAAAGTCATTTCCAAACATTGTTTAATAAAGTACAAACAGACACAAACTGTAAGCAAAATCAAACAATCAACCAACTGGAAAAACTAGAATTAGCAATCAAAGATAACCAAAACCCATTAGATTTCCCAATAACTGATAAAGAACTTACAGACATACACACACTCACTCACTCCCTCACACACACACTCTCACACACTCACTTACACACTCTCACACTCAAACACTAACACACACACAAACTAACACACACACACTCGCACACACACACACTCACACACACACTCCTAAGGAGGACACACTGCTGTTTAGCTGTACTTGTGAGGGTCAAATGTGGTCACTTATAAAGTAAAACATCATGATAACTAGTGAGGTGAATGACTGATGATAGAGAGATGGACTTGTGTCACCTTCATCAACAATTTCCACTCCACTCTAATGCTAACCATTAGTAACTAGAAACAGATGCATAACTCGTACAGCGTCACACTAACCGCTCTGACTATCAGAGGATCAGGAACTAGAACTACTAGTTAGTTTGCAACCAATTCTGTCAACAGAGCTAGTATTTAACAGCCACGCATCTCAGTTGATCTTCTTCAAACTTCTTTTGCCTCAATGGTGATGAATTTAATTTCCATTGAAGTATAATACATGAATAAACATTACATATTTAAACAGCATATACATAAACAAATAAATTCAGGGACTGACACTGACTAAATAAAATATTAGTCAAGGACAATAATCCCAAATACAGCAAACTGGAAGATGCTTAGTGTAAAATGTGGCGGGGGTTTCAGACTCGCATGATCCGAGTGAAGACAGATCTGTGGGTCTGAGCTGACAGCAGTAGCTCTGCTTTTATTTAAACACGGAATTTGCCCAAATTATTTCATAATATATAACTATATGAATGTACAGTGCCTTGCAGAAGTATTCATTTTTTTCCACATTTTGTTGTTGCAGGCTTATGTTAAACTGCTTTAAATGACTTTTTTCCACATCAATCTACACTCCATACACCATCATGGCAAAGCAAAAACAGAATTCGTAAATTTATTAAAAGTACAAAAACTGAAATAAGTACATTGCATAAGTATTCATACCCTTAACTAAATATTTAGCTGAAGCACCTTTACAGCCTCAAGTATTTTTGAGTATGATGCGACAAGCTTTGCTCATCAGCATTTGGCAATTATCCACCATTCTTCTCCTCACCTCTTCACCTCTCAAGCTCTGTCAGGTTGGATGGGAGCAAATGCACATTTTCAAGTTTCTCCAGAATTATTT